TCGGGACTATAAGCCACACCCACTAAATGTAAGACGAAAAAACATGTTGTACATAGCCGCAGGTGTCCACGTTGTAACATGAGATATTTCGACAGTCAGATCGATCTCCTGTAACTTGAAGTGGCATCATATGCATTTCGTCGTGTGTTGTCCAAGATGAGGGTGTGTGCATGAAATAGCAAATATAGCAAAAATAGCAGCTTATGGTCCGGAAAGTACGGTATTTTAGTACAGGAATGTTCTGGTTGCACTTCTTTACTACAGTCTTTAAGCCTTGCTTAGGTTTGAAGGAACCGCTGTGGACAGAGACAAGCTTTTATCTGCTTAAGGATTAGGCTGTACTGATGTCAAAACAACCTCGGTTTAGGTTTAAGTGACTTCTGAGTCTGTGTGACTGGGGTACACAGAGCACTCCTCTTTCCTTTAAGGTTCTGGCATTTAGGTGTATTTATTTTTCTTTCCTTGAGGGCCTAGGATCACGGTGGGGGGGTTGTGTGTCACACATTGTAAAACCCAGTTAGACGAGCTGTCACAGCTGGTTCGTCCTATATTGTCATATCACCAGGAGATAAAGTCTCCATTTCTTGTTTGAAAGTGATGATCACTTTTTTCTTACCAGTGGAAATGTAATATTGACACTGTGTGGAGGTAAAAGTTCAGGCTGGTGTCATTTTACACAACTTAATTGCACAAACACACAGTGTATAACTACGGCCTTTCTGAGCAGGCTGCACCTGAACAGAGGTAAAATTATCCCCATGGGTAAAGAGTAATTGTTCAATTAACCTTTTTTGATGTCATGACAATGGAGGCACTGAGGAAACGTGGTTCGGAAGTCGGGTTGGCAGTGAATTAACATCATCCTGAAGTGTAACGGTGGCACGATGCTGAGTGAGCTTCTCTGTCTGATGCCCTTCCTCCCGGCATTTTTCAGGCAGCCAGACCAGCATTAAGTCCTGCTGGAATCAGATTATGACTTTAATTCTTTGTCACCATGGCAACCCCATCCTTTATGTCATGCACAGGCATAAAGACACAGTGCCACAGTATCAGGAAAACGTTGACTCATCACGGATATGAAGTTAAAGCTTTTATCAGTGATGGATTTGTGCTGTGAGGCACGGATTGCCTGTGCTCATCTGCGGCCTGGCGTTCAGTTAAAGTAGACGCTGCTCTTAGCTCTTTGTCTGGTGCTGCAGGCGGTCCTGTCTGGCTGAATAGGCAGAGCATGAAACCACCTCTAGCATGGTTTTTACACAACAAAATATGCCTGCCGGTGTGCTGCAGGCCACTTTGAAAGCTTTCCCCCAAATAGAAACTGCAGAAGATCTTTGTCATGGATTTATCCTGCACTGCTACGGCAGACGTTTTTTTCTGTTTTATTTTTTTGCAAGGTGTTACCTTTTGAGACTAGCCAAAGTGCAGTAGTGAGCAAACAAGCAGTGAAGACCAGGACTGCACAGTACACTAGTATCAACCTTTGTACATTTGTTGTGCTTCTGCACAGTGAGGTGCCTCATTCTCCTAGAAATACTGGGTTTTAATGGGAGTTAAGTCATTCACAGTTTCATGAAACCCACAGTGTTGTCTTTCTCTTTAAACCTGCACATAACCCCACCGTCCACACACACCAACTGAGCTGCACCTCTCTAGTCCCTGTACTGCAGAGGTGATGCATCTCAGTGTAATATCCAACCACTGTCAGTAGACAGTAAAAGGGTGATCCTGTCTGTATAGTACCTAGGGGTGTAACAGATTGGACAAGAAACTATTCTGTTCCCTTTGCTTTTTAGATTCATTAAATCTATATCTGAGGCCTCCCAGCAGGCCTGTGCCAGGTTATACTTTCAAATACTTAAATAACCGCACACCCAAACACAGATGGGTGGGGTTTGCCTTTTTAGGACTGTGATTGACAGGAACATCAAGACAAAAGACAGCAGAGCTAGAATTGGATACATGTTCCTGTAACGTGCCACTTACCGGACTAGTTCTACACTATCCTCATGCGTTCCACCGTGCCCTTCTGGCACAGGTCTGGGTAAGAATGATTTTCCAGAGTGTCCTCTAGTGAGTGAAAGGTAAGAAAGGAGGCAGATCCCCCGACTTATTAAACCTGCTAGACTCACTTGGATTTCAACCGCAGGAAGGCGTGTACACACCAGCCTGCCATGCCTGGCAGCGAGCCGAGTGCGTGACAAAGGCGCACACTTTCTCTTTTGTCTTCCCTCTTTTGCAGAAACTCTTTGCTTCTGTCCTTTCAAGCAGATTTGTCTCCCCTCTAATGAACAGTGAGACCTTCTGCCTGAAGCTGAGCAGACAGCTGAATGTGTGGGTGACGGTGATTGAGTCTGGTCGCTGACCTATGTCGCAGGGGCTCTCCCCTGCTTCCTCTCTGTGGCCCACCTAACCCATAAAAATAATAAAAGGAAAATGTTTTAGGGCCCTTCTGTTGATACAGTGCAGCTCGGTTTACTGGCTTCAGTCATTAAGAACTACTGGTCTGCTGTGGTTAATGGAATTGGCAGCAAATTCAGCCAGTGTCACAGGAATTGCCAGATTTTCCCACACGTCTAAATGCACCTTGTCCAGTAAGTTTGACCTTCAGTGAGCTGGCTTTGGGGCATCATACAGAGATGTACTGTAGGGCTGGATGATATGGCTGATATCAGAATAACAATTTTGATGAGAATACTTTTCTGATTCACTTTGCTTCAGTGAATACTATCAACTGTCTGTTTTGCTGGTCATCATTCAACTGGAAAACACAGTTTTGTGAAACAGTAACACAGTATTACAACATGATAGGACAGTGCACCTAAAGGTCAGCAGCCAAAAGGATAATTCTATAATTCTGCTAGGGTAATATGAAGGCTAGGTTAGCAACAGCAGTGTGTTTCTGTGGGTGATTATCACAGCAAATGATTTGAATGTAGTTCAATTTGCTTTTTCCAAGTGCTCCATTAACCTCTTTTATAGAACCTCTTTTAGTTTGACCCCAAAAAACTGTTAAATGGGAAATTGTTCAGCATATTAAGTTTAAACAAATCGGTCTCGACTCATAATGAAAAAATGAATCCCCACCCAAATCCTGATGTTTCATCAAGAAGTCTTGTTTCATGTAGATGAAAAAAGAATTGTGAGCAGATTCTCACATGTGTTAGTGCTGAGAGAGGGGGTTGAAACAGACAGGATTACACACCCAATTAGTGAGTGAAATTGTCTGAAACAAAGACCCCCTTTGTGGTTACTGGAAAGGATTACATTTCTACACCGTGCTTACAGAGCAAGGAGACATGGAATTGCTTTGTTACGGTGAATTTGACATGGAAGCCACCTGATTTCTGAGGCTTTGTTTATTTTGCATTACTACAGAACCTGAACACAAGCTCTGTAGACTGACAAAGATGTTTCGTACTGCTGTGTGGACAAAACTGTGCTAAAGAAGTTCAAAGGTAGTTTTAAACCAACTTGTAACTTCGGTTAAGTTAAAGCTATCAAATCTAAGCACAGCTACCTCCAGAGACTGTCTGCGGCTCCTTCATAATGAGGCCTCCATTAGTAGTGAAGCTGATTTGTGACGTGCTACTGTAAGTGTGAAAGATTGTGGTATCTTTGCTCTGTGGCACCAGACGGTAGCCATTGGCACAGTTATTCACAGACCTGCTCATATACCCTATTCATGACCTCCAGGCAGGGCATTACCTCTCCTCACTCGCCTCCATCCAGCCGTGTAATCCTGCAGCCGCAGCGTCGGTGTCAGTGCTGGGATCCAGTGTCACACAGATGGACACAATGGCTGCACTGTGCTCCACTCACAGCATTGTCCTCCCCTGAATGTTGATGCACAATGAGAGCCTTATCCACACAGGAGCGCAACAGACAGGCCCACTGTCAGGTGCTTTTCTTCCAGGCCTGTTTGTGAGCTGAAAGCATGCAGGACCTTGTTTAAAGCAACAGAGTGATGCTTTCTAAAAGCCTGGCCCAGTTACAGTGAGCAACTGAATGAAGAGAGCTGTCTGTTTCTGTTACATGCTCGCACTTTACATTAGAGTGAAGCAAATCTGTCAAAACCCGTTTCTGTCCTACCGAGAAAATAACTGCATTCATTTGGTTTTTTTTTCCTTGATTTGGTTCTGTTGATATGTGGTGAACTTGTTAGCAAAACGTTGTGCATTTAGATGACATTATCATGAATGTGGAGTCGTGTTTCTATCTGATGTTCAGTCTTAACTTTGGTTTTGGTCTGGACCAACTCCTGAGGGAAATATCTCGCTCTTTTGTTTCCAAGTACTCAGCTTAGTTCACCAGCTGGGCTCTGTGACTGCTGGTAGTCTGCCGTCAGCCCTTAGAGCATCGTAACTGAAAACAACTGCCTGCTGTGGGCATAAATGACGTTGAAGGCCACCTGTACTTCAGTACTGCAACACTGAGAAGTAATTAAAAGGTCTTGTACAAATACTCTTTGATTTCGCTGTCGTCCACAAAGGACCTCATTGTGTTTTCTAGTGTTTCAGATTATTTCTCTCTCTTTACTTTGTCTAGACACAGGGTAAGAACCTGGGTACAGATAACTCTTCTTTTTATTTGAACCATTATAATGCAACCGTATATTGGCTGTTTTGTATCCTGGTTTGGCAGCGAGAATCTGATTGTACAGTTTTTTTTAACTTGTTATTTTTGGATCAGTTGTTTGGGTGTGGTTGGTGTTTTCCTCGGCGCTGCCTGTGTGATGCCAGTTCTGCTGCTTCAGGCTGCATTTTTCTTGCCCACTAACAAGAGCTCTCATGAACGAGCTGTGCCATCCTACCACAGACAGTAGCTGTTTTGTGTAACAAAAGGTGGTGTGCATTAAATGTATCCTTCATAATGTTTGAATGTAGTAGCCTCTGTTATTTATAAACCCTAGTGTACAGAAAATGTAAGAATCGTGTCTCGTGTTAAACACAAGTCCTCACTCACACTCTCATCTCAACCTTTTGTTTCTCGGTTTCCTGCAGGATCCGTCCTCAGCTGGCCAAGGAGAAGATAGAAGGATGTCACATCTGTACGTATGTGATGCCTGGGGAGCCTCAGGTCATCCTGGGGAAAGACAAGGCCTTCACCTACGACTACATGTTCGACATGGACTCCCAGCAGGACTCCATCTACACCGCCTGCACAGAGAAGTTGGTCGAGGGCTGTTTTGAAGGTTACAACGCCACCGTCTTTGCATACGGACAGGCGAGTCTTTGTCCTCCGTGTCACAGCCACAGTGGAGCTGGGTGGAGGTGGAAAACTGGGGGATGTGCGTACGTGTTAGGAAGGAAGGAGATGGGGGTGTTTGAAAGGTGGAGGGTGTTTATATTTGGGTAAACGGAGACTAGAGAAGACATGTTGTGGGAGTTCAACCTGTGTGACTTTGTGTTTGTCCAACAATAGATTTAAAGCTCTTGAGGTTCCCTGGCTCTGTTCAGAGATTAAAATCACTGCATATATTGTGTATATTTAAGAAATACAATATCAAGTGTTACTATATGATATATAACATCTTTTCCTTGATGGAAGCAAGCAAAGGGATGCTAGAGATCTAATGAGATGTGCCTTCTGTTTTATTCCAGCCTGATACAGGTGACACAGATCTTTGAAATTCACACCCGTGATCTTCTGGCTAACATTCACAGTCTTTCCCAGAAAGCTTTTGTTCATATTATTCCTGTGTCCCCAGTAACTGCTTGTCCCGTATGGTGACCTACTTCCGAACGCACTGAGAGCACAGGCAGCTGTTGGTTTGGCATGGATCAGACCTGTCTGTCTCTGTGGCTTTACAGGGACTAATCTAGATTTAGACCGAACCACTCGACTACATCACAAGAACTCAGTCCAGCTGGGTCGCAGATATAAAGGGATAGTAATGATGTGGAGAGCAGAGTAGACACTTTTTCTGACTTATCAGAAGGACATTGGATTGTTCAAAGCCATGTTTAGTTCATTTTAAAAAGACTTGGTGAGAGAATGTGTCTGCTCTGTTTTCTCAAACATTACAGAACTGAAGATGAAGACACAAATGCAGGAGGAACGGTTAATAGCCTCTCCACTGACAGTAAACTTGTTTGTCCAGAAATTAGTGCAGTCGCAACACGTTTGTTCTGAAGAGACAAGAGTGAGACACATTGAATCTCAGTTCCCCTAATGGTATCCACATTTCCCTCCATTGCATTTTAGTCCCACCCACAAAAGATGCAGTGAGAGAAGGAACTGAAGAAACACATCTTATCCTCATGTGACGCACCCAAATGCAAACTGATTTCTGACAAAGGAGCATGTCGATCCGTAACATATTTCCACAAAGGATACACTCATGTACGCTCAGTTACAGCTCCTCCAGGCAGCCTTCTTGCTCCTCGGAAATAAAGAGCAAGGACCAATAAAATAAGGGAATTGGGATTCACCTCTTATCTTGACTTAGGAAAATTGCTGGACAAAAAGTCCTCCCTCCAAAAAAGCATTCTGGGAAATGTAAGACATAAAGTACTGGAGTTAAAATAAACGGTAGCTCGAATTTAACTGCATACAAACTAAGTCAGTGGCTAGTCTTTCTTTTTCTGGCACAATTCAAGACAAATTTATCCTGTACAAATACTCAGTGTAGTATAAAATAGAGTATAACAATTATGAAGTGCTTTGAAAAAGAAACCTAAATTACAATATAAGGCCAAAGTAGACTAAAATAACCAGATATGTTAAAGCAAGATTATGATAACATTTGGTAAGTGAAACAGGTTGGGAATCATTCAAGTAAAAAGAGATTTAATCAGGTTTTCATTGGAAGTTCATTGGAATCTTTTGAATAAAGGTGGAATCCTCATCTAATTCCAAAGCTTTGGGGCCTTTTATGGCAAATCCATTTTCACAGGTTTCAGATTTAGTTTAGATGCTCAGAGTGTAGCACCACAGCATCGTGATGTTTTCATCTACCCATCCAGACGGGCTCAGGGAAGACGTACACCATGGGGACGGGCTTTGATGTCAACATTGTAGACGAGGAGCTGGGCATCATCCCTCGTGCCGTCCACCATCTTTTCAAGGGCATTGAGGAGCGCCGACAAGCTGCCCAGGAGCAGGGACGCCCTGTACCCGAGTTTAAGATCAACGCCCAGTTCCTCGAGGTATACTCCATCCTCACTGCACCGTAATAATAAGTACTAATAATTTTTTCTGTATTTTACCAGCTTCTTTGAGCCGAAACATAACTAACAAGCATTAGGACAGGCTTCACAGAGTTGTCATGAGTCAGGCTAATATTGTTGACATCGCCTATTTAACAAGCTTTCACACCAGCGTTTCATCACTTGAAAATATCTGCACTGACAATTGAACTTCAGCAGCTGTCATCGGGGGTTAGGAGTTGTTTGGGGGTGGGCAGGGGTCTCTGTCTGCACAGGAAGAGTTAACAGGATTGATGTAGGGTGACAGTTGTGCTGCTCTGTCAGACTGACAGTGTTCAGATTCCCGGAGAAGACTGGGAGAGCCACATTACTCAGAGGAGCTGTGGCTGAATCACACACAGAGTGACACTTGGAGATATGCTGCACATACAGCCTTTACATTTGGCCTTTTACATGTCATTTGTTCAGATTTCCCCAGATAAAGGTTTCTGTGAAGCAGCATTCACATCATCCTCAGACACTGAAACTGAAACTCTGAGGCTCTTAAAGTTCTGTAGACCCAGCATATGTTTGGGGGGGTAAATAAAATACACAAATGTCCTTGCATCCCACACAGCTTTATAACGAGGAGGTTCTGGACCTGTTTGACTCCACACGAGACATGAAGCAGAAATCTCACATCAAGATCCATGAGGACGCCACCGGAGGAATCTACACGGTGGGAGTGACCACACGGAGCGTGTCCTCTGAGGCGGAGGTAAAGCAGAGAGATTTGTGTAGCTAGTGCCTGTATCAGCCATCAAAAACAGACGGGAACAAACTATTCAATCAATGTCGCTTCCTTAAGTGGAATAAAATGTATAAGTATTATGTAAATATTTTGAACAATTGAATATCAAGGGTTTATTTACAATTTGTTTTTCATATATTATTCATTACTGCACTCATTTACCTTCTATAAACACTAGAGAGTATTTATTTGTTGAGCTCAACCAGCGTGTTAATATTTAAACCGCTTTGTCTGCCTGTTCAGATGTTGCAGTGTCTGAAGCTGGGCGCACTTTCCCGCACCACAGCCAGCACTCAGATGAACGTCCAGAGCTCCCGATCCCACGCCATCTTCACCATCCATCTGTGCCAAGTCCGCGTTTGTGCCTCCGACAATGTTAGTACAGTATCACATTGAACAAGCACCATTACATTGCTATGAATGCTCCTGGCATCAACACTATTCTTTAAGTTGCTAAAAAGCAGTTAAAACCATTGTTCAGTACTTGTGCATATGCTTTCAGTTTTAAATAGAACATATAATACTTGTAGGAGGTCTAAACTGCAGCCGGTATACACTCATTTAGCCGAACATAAAACATAATGAAAAGAGATTTTGTTTTAGTATTGATGTTTCCTTAAGTCTGTACTTTGATTTATGTAGCTTTAGTGCTAGAGTAAAGTCTTTAACACTGTATTGTCATTACGATTTATGGCAGGTTAAGAAATGAGGACAAAGTCTATAAAGAAGTATTCTGAGTTGAGGTCAGCCGTTCTTTCACTATAATTTTGCCTGTCATGTGGCGCTGTAAATATCAGACTCCAAATCTAAAATACTCCCACCTACAGAAGAGTTAAAAGTGAACCAAAACATCTTTCAGTGGTTTGCAATCAGCCCTTTTGTGAGAGAGACTGTCATATTTTTTCACATAGCTAGTGTCTCATTTGTCATTTTGTCAACCCCTTGTTGGGGTTTACATTTATCACCCTGATATAATGCTACTAATGGAATTTTGTGTGTGTCATTGTTGCTCAGCAAGACAATGAGACTGATAACAGAGTCTCCAACGGAAACTCTGAGATGGACGAGTATGAGACGCTGACAGCCAAGTTTCATTTTGTGGACCTGGCTGGTTCTGAGAGACTGAAGAGAACCGGAGCGACGGGCGATCGGGCCAAAGAGGGCATCTCCATCAACTGTGGACTGGTGAGCATCGTCCTCTGCCTCGCTGATAACCTTGAGTTGTATTGCCATCTAGTGGCTGGATTTCATAAATGTCTGTCCTCCATTCGCTGGTCATTACCTCCACCAAAGAGGTTATGCTGTTTATGATTATCTGCATGGCATTGAAATACACTTTTCTTCGTTCTCCTTTGACTGTTGCAGCTCGCTCTGGGGAACGTGATCAGTGCTCTGGGTGACCGGAGCAAGCGGGCCTCACATGTGCCTTACAGAGACTCCAAACTCACCCGACTCCTGCAGGACTCATTAGGAGGAAACAGGTTGGTGGGCAGCTGATTTCATCTTTTTCCACAAATACTGTCTATAATTTTTGGGTTACTTAATTTGTCATATAGAGAGAAGTGTTGCTAGCCACATTTGAAACTGCCAAACTGTAAAGAAAAATCCGATTTAAACCTTTCAACTTGTTCTACTGTCAATCATGTAGAAAGGAATTGTTGGTTTGGGAATATTCAAAGAGAATTTAATCTTTTGAACAAGGCTGAAATGGACAGCACTTGCTTTATCAGCAGTAACCTTTCACTTTCCAGAGAATCTAAGCCAAACGGTGATGATCGCTTGCATCAGCCCATCTGACCGCGACTTCATGGAGACGTTGAACACATTAAAGTATGCCAACCGAGCCCGGAACATCAAGAACAAAGTGATAGTGAACCAGGACAAGGCCAGCCAGCAGATCAGCGCACTGAGGACGGAGATAGCTCGACTGCAGATGGAGCTGATGGAGTACAAGACGGTGAGGAGGGAGTGCAATGGAAAAGTGTATTTAAAATAGTAACCAGGAAATATTTTATGTCAGAGGAGAAGTCAAAACACTGTGAAGTAGTTACTCTTTTTTTCCATAGCAAATCCTGTTTTTATCAGAAACCTGAAATGTTCTCCTGTGCCACCTCATCCTCCCTCCTGCAGGGTAAACGTATGGTGGGCGAAGATGGTGTGGAGAGCTTCAGTGACATGTTCCATGAGAACTCTATGCTGCAGACGGAGAACAGCAACCTGAGGGTGAGGGTGAAGGCCATGCAGGAGACCATCGATGCCCAGCGGGCACGTCTCACCCAGCTGCTCAGTGACCAGGCCAACCAGGCCCTCGCCAGGGCAGGTAGGTGCAGCCTCCATGTGTCTTTTTTAAATTCTTCAGTTCACAGCCTGTGTCATTGCTTCTCAAGTCACAGTAAACCTTAATGTTTGGGTTTGAATTGGTTATAAAGTAATGCACTTTGATTCTGTTTGTTACAGGTGAAGGAGGGACTGAAGAAATTGGAAATATGATTCAGAGTTACATTAACGAAATTGAAGACCTCAGGTAAATACTTCCGACGTAGATGCTGTCATTTATTCCCTTGTTTGTTCCTGCTAACAGCCTTTGAGCACCAGTCAGCAGCAGGAGGATGCATCATATACTTGAATCTCTGTTGAGACTGTTTTGGCCTGTCAGAGTTAGAAATGTTGGCCGCCATGTAAGATAAGCCTCTGGATACCTACCTCAGACCAACCAACACATTTCATGACTTGTCAAAGCAGGGTATATCTTCATCCGGTCTGTTTCATCCTCAGAGCCAAACTCCTGGAGAGTGAAGCTATTAATGAGAACCTGAGGAAGAATCTGTCTCGTGCCTCCAACCGTCAGCCGTTCTACGGAGGGTCCGGCCCCTTCTCCTCTGCGCTGATGGCCCCTGAGAAGGACACTTCCGATATCATCGAGCTCGCAAAGAAAGACCTGGAGAAACTGAAGAAACGAGAAAAAAAGAAAAAGAAAAGGTAATGAGACTGCTGTGGACAGACTGGATCTAGGGTTGGGTTTGCATCTGCCTGTTAAATGTTGTGCTGACATCAGTTTCAAACCAGATTTCTTTTTATAATTTTACTCCAGACAATATTTTAATAGGTGTATCACTGTAGCCAGAAGTCAGTCTGGCTGGGTATGGGTTGTAATTGTAAACATGGCATCAGTATAACAGTTGGTAAAAGGGAGCATCCAATATTAATGGATTCTGGACTTTAAGTCATGACATGTACTCTGGGCCATCACTTAGCTACCAGATGTTAACATGTGTAATTGATGTGGTCGACTGTACTTAGAGACGTAAAACAAAAATCTATGCCTGGGTGTAGATCAGTGGTCCCCAACCGTTTTATCATTGCGGACCGGTCAACGCTTGACAATTTTACCGCGGCCCGGGGGGGGGAGTAGGTAGGTACGTAGATTGTTTATATTGTTAATATAATAATAAACGTGAATCCACTGTGTTGAAATTTTTAACTCACCATAACGCTAAATCAATGGGAGCCCTGAACTTGTTTCTCTGCAACGAGACGGTCCCATCTGGGGGTAATAGGAGACAATGACACCCGAAGTGTGTTGCTTATGTTCAGTCTACTCCGTTGTTTTGTTTTGGTTGCTGTCACTGCAGAAAACCCCGCTTCACACAGATAGGATGTCGGAAATGGCAACAGGGTTTTCAGTGCTGTGGTGGCGATCTCAGGGTATTCTGTCATGACTTTAATCCAGAACACCGGCAGAGTTGTTGTCTCAAACATACTTTTAAAGGGTCACCAGCTGGGAGAATGAAGACTCAGGCTCAGTCTCACCCAAAGTCTCATGTTTGAAACATGTCCAAAATGCCTCTGTTGACGCGCCGTCCCCACAAATCCAGTTTGGCTTTAAATGCAGCTACTTTATCTGCCAACTTGAAGACAGTTGTCATTTTCCCCTGAAGTGACAGATTGAGTTCATTGAGCAGGCTGAATATGTCGCACAAGTAAGCCAGTTTTGGCGCTCAAGTGACCGAGATGTAACCGAGAGAATGCGGTCATTTTTCAAAATAAAAGATCGTTCAGACTCAGATAATAAATAAAACGGAAATAATTAATGATTTCTTGTGCGGCCCGGTACCAATTGATCCACGGACCGGTACCGGTCCGCGGCCCGGGGGTTGGGGACCACTGGTGTAGATCAAATATGTGCTAAGAAACCGGTGCTGATAGAAGAAATTCAATGAAGTAATGCTTGATGAAAAATCTCCAGCAGCATGACAGACTTGATCAGCGGCTTCAGGTTGAAAATGCTCAGTCGTGCTGTCGTGCACTTTTGGGGAATAAAAGCTGGTGTTTTCAGTGCAGACCTTCCTCTGACCATTCTTCCTTCCACTCTTCCTTCCTTCATTCATCTCCTGCTCCCTTCTCTTGTTTGACTTTTCACCCCTCCTTGAAGACTCCAGCAGCTGTTGGAGGAGAGAGAGAGGGAGGAAAGGGAGGAGATGGTGGAAGCGGTTGGGGACGCCAGGTTTGTCAGAGCTTCCGCCCTCTTGTTGCCATTTCCATCCTTTGCTTCTCCTAATTCAGCATTTTGTTTGACTTTTCCTTTATTTTGGGCAGGTATATCCCCCTGGAATGAAACAACATTTTTACCATTTAACAAACCTTAATCTCTCCTTCGATTCTGCGTGAATCCCTCCACTCATTCATTGACCTGTC